TATATATATATATATATATATATAGATATATATATGGTCTCTCATGAGGAATAGTTATCTGGAAAAGATGTGTAGTTTATAAGCAATAGGTTATCTCTTATTTGTTGTTTCGAGATATTTGAAAGCTTTATTAACTATTTTTTCAATTGTGTAGTTTATGGTGTTAATGGTAATATCTAGCGGTCATGAATGTCCGGTCAGTACGGATGAATTTTGGCCCACTGATTAATCTCAGAGGCAAAAAAAACAAAAAAGTAAAAGAAAAAGGACCACCTTAATAAATAACATAAAATGCACCATCATGTAACTAAATTTATTTTAAATTGACACACAAATAAATAAATAGAAGATAGAATTAAAGATGCATGGGAGTATATAGATTCAGTTATTACAGTAAATCTTAGCCACCATAAATACCTGGTCTGGAACTCTGTAACACATCCTTCTTAACAACATAATTTCACTGCAAAACATATTTAATTGTGCCTCTGTAATTTCATGGACCATTCTATTTATTTTATTTTATTTTTGGCCCCTTTAGTGGCATCCCATATCACATATACTTTCATTTAAAATTTTATATTCGATAAAATGTATAACGAGTAATGATAATATTGGGTAAATTACGGCCAACCCCCCAAGGTAAGGGTAAATTGCGAAAAAATCATTTATGTTTGGGCAATTGCAACCACCCACTCAATTATGAATCTTCTTACACGTCCACTATTGTGATGTCAAATTTAGTAGAATCTTCTAGATAATGTGGAATATTCTACGATTTGTATCGGTTTTACCCCATTCGAGCTCCACATTTTGAACCAAGATGTCATAAAATGTGTCTATTTATTGGATCATAGAAATGTCCAATAATATAATTGGATTTCATTACATTATTTAATTTTATCCTGATTAATCTTAATTTGGCAACCAAACGAGTTCTTAAGTGAAAATTAATAGTGTAAATCATTTTCAAGTAATTCCATAGTAGGCCGGCCACTATTTAATTGCCTTTACTCTCATGAAACTTCATCTAAAGGCCGGCCTATATCACAATATTTCAATTTTCACCTAAGTACTCTAATTTGAATTCTTATTCACATCACCAATTATTTCGAAAATAACAGATACGTTGAACTTTTTTTTTTTTAACACACGTATTCTCGTCGAATTAAATTGCGGAACATGTCTTGACCGATTTTCAAATTATTGCACTAACCTTACACATCTATGCACAAGGGTATGCCATCTTAATTGGTCACCACATACTGGCACGTGGTCGGGGGGCCATGGCCCCCCAAACATTTCTCAAAACTCTATTATTTTATATCGAAATGTAAAACAAATTGTGTATAATATCAATAACTATACCACTTAGATTTTTTTTAGTTCATCCAGCCCCCCTAAACTTAAAATTTTGGCTCCGTTAATGCGCATACAAATATAGGTTTGACGAATTAATTGAATTTACGGTACGGAGACACATTTTCGGTGCCTGCCATGTTATCATGTGGAAATCTATTTTTGTGAAAGTGTAGTGATAAATGAATGGCTGCCATGAAATGTGGAACCTATTTTTATGGAAGTCTTTAGTAGTGATAATAAATGGTGTCTAGTGCGAGACAATATGATTTCAGACGCGTCAAATGCAAGTACAGTAGAACCCCGATAAATTAATAATCTTGCTTAAGTAATAATTTATTCTCGTTCTGACTCAACGGCATCGTGCTAAATTCGTTTATAAACGAATTATAAAAAATATATATATATATATGAAAATGACAATGACAATTTCATTCTTATAAGAAGATCAAAAGGCAATTGTATAGCACATCACATGGGAAAATAAATGCAACAAAGTTGACAACTTAACGTATGAAACTATCTCTCTTTTATTTTTATTTTTCTCTTGTCTTGTTTCTTTCTAATTAAGTTCTCTCTCAATGTGGTCCAATTATTTAATTAAATCATAAGTAATTAAACATGAACACCATTATACAGACCATTAAGATTTTAATTTGTTGTTATCTACCTAATTAATTAATTAACCTTGCATGTTTTAACTACAAGTGAGATCAATAATTTAATAACTACAAGTGAGATCAATAATTTAAATTCTATGTATCTCCTATTTTGTATTTAATTCCGACCCCATGTAAGATTTGAATTTTATAAAAACATGTACAATAACACAATGTTCGGCTTGTGGTGTTATTCTATAGAGGATGTTTGACTAAGCTTACAAGCTGCTAAAAAGAATTTATTTTTTCTTTAAAAGTATTTAAGAGGACCGTTTTAAAGAGTTTAGTAATAATAAGGATTATGTCATAAAATAAATAATTAGAATTCTAAAGAGACAGATAATTTGAAATCAACGAGTAAGTAACAATGCGATATATATACTTTGAAATAAGACGAAAAATCAATCATACCTTTGATCATATATAATAATATCATCATGAAGCTCTCTCACAGGGCATACAATAATTAAGGTTGTAATAATTTCTCTAATTACAACCAACTAACCACCACTGCAAGGAAAAATCAAACTCTTAATTTTCTCCCCCCCTAATTAAAAAATTTACATAAATACCCAAAAAAAAAAAAAAAAAAAAAAAAAACCCACTTCCGAATATCATCAACCACCATATGGGTTTCTCACTAGTCAGCCATTAAATTTAAAAAAAAAAAAATTAATCCCAAAAAAGGAATAATTTAAAAGTAAAATATTAATAATAATTAATTAATTATTACATCTTGAGCATTGATGTAAGAGACTGAAAAATCTCTTCATCGCAAGGAATAGTGAGTCCCATATCGTGATCGAACCCAAACTCCTCCTCCGCTCGCCGGAGCAGGCTCAAGAACTCCGGCATGTTCAAGATTGATATCGGCACGATGTATCTGGTCCGATTCTCGCCCACATACACCACGAAGTGCCCCTTCGGTACATCCACCGGCAGCCCTTGTTCGCTGCCGCCGTCGTCGTATCCGCCGCCGCCGTTCTTCTTGCCTAAACTCGAGCACCGCTTCATAATCTGCTTTATCATTGCCTTCTGCGACAGTTTGCCGCCGCTGTATTTTCTAATAGCCATCTTAAAGTTTAGTGTGTGTAGTGTGTGAAATTTTCTTGATGATCAAATATTTTTCTTTTTTTCTAGAGAGAGAGTAGTACAAAATAGAAGGGTGTGTGTGGAGAGAAAGGAAAGAGAGGGTGGGAGTGTGGTATTTAAATAAAGTGGTGGGTTTTTTTGAAGATTAAATAGTTGGAGAATTTCATTTTTTGGGCAAATTAAGGCCAACCCCCTGAGTTATGGTTAAATTATGAAAACCCCCTCGTGTTTGAGTAATTACAGCCACCGCCTCAATTATGTATTATCTTACAAAAAAACTCATTCAGAGGTAAATTTAGGAATGTTAATTCGGTACGCCAGCATTTCATACCATTTACCGAACTAAATATACGATTTGGTTCGGCAAATAACCGAATTTACATAAATTTTATGTAAAAATATTTAAAAAGAGGGGTGGCTGTAATTACCTAATCAAAAGGGATTTTTTCGTAATTTGGCCTTAGGTGTGGCTGTAATTTGCTTTTATTTTTTTTATTTTTTTATTTTTTTAATAAATTAATTTAAAAAAAAAAAGAAAAAAAAAGAAAAACAAGGGCATGTGGGGTTGTGGGGGCAAGGAAGAGACCACGGGTGTTTTCGGGCAATGTGAATTTATGGTGTAATGGAAAAAACATTAAGCCAAGCCATTGGTTTACTAATTCTTGTTGCCTTACATCTAGACAATAGGGTCCCCTTTTTTGGGTTTTTAACTCTCTTTTCAAGAACTTATTTCACTTTCTTCTTTTTTAATTGCTAGGTAGGTTTTACCCGATTCATATATTCTGAACGAGCTGATAATACCAACCGACTCGTCTGTGTAAAACTTTTTGGTTGTTTGGGTAGTTACTTGGTGGAATTTTGAATGAAAAGTCGGCTGGCCAATAATACCCCATCGATCATGTTTTTTATGATGCGATTTTTTAATAGTTGCTTTGCATTGAAAAGTAGAACACATGCTCTATGTTTATTTAGAGTAACTATTAATGTTGATATTTCACAAACATTGGTAGCGTTAGTTTTAAAAGATATGAGTTTGTAACGTAACCGACTATTACCCGATCCACAAAAGTCGAGCTGATTTTGAGTTTTGGTTAAAATTGATTGGTTGAGACGAGTTGATAAAAGATTGGCAATTAATCGATCCGACCCATTAATAATCATATTTTTTTATTCTTTGAGTTTGTTAATTTTACCAACCGAACATGACCGATACTGTTAGTCCGTTAGTTCTCCCGCTGTCTCTCGCTCAATCTCACTCTGTCTCTCGCCACCACTCCATGATGGAGGAAGGTGGTGGCTATGGCGACGACCACGGCGGTGGAGGCGGCTGCATATAGAAAACAACTATGACGGTAAGAAAGCTACACCGGGTGCAGAGTTCTTGGTCGCGCAGCTATGGATTGTTGTCCCAACGCCGACGCTCGAGGTTCGAGGATGATGCCGGTGTACCGGTGATCCTGGGGTAGGCGATGGCGTGTGTTTGGGGTTGACGATGGTGGCATGGATGGGAATGGGTGACCTTGTCGTCACAGATCTAGGGTTTGGAGGGTGGATCTAGGGTTTGGTTTGGAAGATTCAAAATTTTCGAATAAATTCTGCAGTTGTCTATGAGTTACTATGAGTGTCTCACGGCTAGGGTTCAAAGGAGGAGTTAGGGTTTCAAGAATATGGGGTCAGAGAAGTCTACGGATTACTATGGTTTTCTATGGTATCCTATGGGTGTCTATAGATGTCTATGGCCGATTTTTTTTTTTTTTAAATTTATAATTTTCAATATTATGTAGAAAAAGATATATTTCTATAATAGTGAAAAAATACGAAAATGAAAAAAAAAAAAAAAAAAAAAATGTAACATAATGTTCTTCTACGTAAAAAAAATAATAAAAAAAATGTTAGATCCAAAAGTGAATATCTTAAATAAAGAATAAAAAAATGATAAATGCAATTTAAATATTACTTGGTGCGTATTTCATATTTTGTGAATGAAGGGCATTTTTGGAATGAAATTTATAAAGGATGTGAAGCAGAAATTTAGTTAGACTTGTCATTTAGTTCTAATAAATTTTGTCAACAAAGACCTATATGGGGACCTCAAGTTCTTAATTGTATAAATAAAATTATTATTTTTATTAATAAAGAAGAATAAAACAATGTATATAAAATATATAATTAAACAAAAGGGGCTACAATTTTTTTTATTTTGCCTATGAATCACATAAGAATTTGGATTTCGAATCGAGCAATATTATACTTTGTTGAAGGCAAAATTTAAATTTGTTATAGGTAAAAACGACTTGTTTCTTTTGAAATTCAAATACGAGGTTGATTTTTTTTTTTTTAATAACTTAGGTCGTGTTTGATTGCAAGATAAGATTAGCCAAAATAAAATTTAATAAATTAATGAAAGTCCAGTTTTATCGGATCATGAAAGTCGAACAAAAAAAAACTCTTTAAAAGACAAGATAAATACGCTATAATAATATAATATTTACGGGTCTACCCGACAAACTATTGAGAAACCAAACATCAAAAAAAGTCCAATTATTTAGTTAATAACGACTGATCTCTCCAACCAAACGAGGTCTTAAAGTATTAGAAACATCCCTGAATGCGTCAAAACTTTATCCAAGTTTAATTAATTCTTAAACCTAATTTAAAAATATAAGTAAATAGATTAGAGCCACATATTTGATCATGCCAGACTGTATTTTATATCTGTAACTTACGTAGCTAATTGTTTAAAAATAAAAATAATTCAATTGGTACATAACTATAAATAAACAACATATTAGGTAATAATTTATGCCAAAATAATAATGGAAACATACGACAATAATACGTTTGCATCACAAGTGTAATAGTACGTCACAAGAACATGAATTTAAATTTTCAATGTACATTTATGATTCATCGTATACGGTGAACTTGGATAAATTAACAACGTTGCTTAAATAATAATCATTTTTCATTCCAAATTGATGATAATGTGTTAAATTATTATTTAAATAAATTAATATTTTGCTAAATTAATAGAATCTGACCAATAACAACTATAATAATTTATAGAGATTTAACAATAGCTCGTACATTTAAAGAACAAGATTAACAACAAGATTAAAGATGCATGAATCTACATAGGGGTAATAATTATGCATGTGTGACTTCGAGCTATTCAAAATAAGTTGTCTTTCATTTTTGCAACAAAGACAAATATTAATTGTCTTTCATTTTTGCAACAAAGACAAATATTAATTTGCGGGGAAAATATAGTTTTTGTCCCCTAAGTTTGCACCAATTTTATATTTGATCCTTCATATTCACAAAAAAACACATTTGGTCTCTTATCTTTCAAAATCAACACTTTTAGTCATTTCTGTTAAAATTTAACAGAATCACGCGTGGTCCTATCACTGGCTTATTGAGAGAGAGAGAGAGACGAGAGAGAGAGAGAGAGAGAGAGAAAGCGTGAGATTGAGAGAGAGAATAAAAAAGAAGAAGAATAGATCTGATAAAAAGAAACGTAATATTTAGTTTATAAGATTTAGGGTATAAGGGCAATATTGGGATATAAAAAATATTAGGGATGTGGCTCATATATTATTTTAAATTAATGATTTAATTAAAAGAATGGATTTGGACTTGTCATTTAGTTCAAATTATGTTTAGTTTGAGGGACTCCTAGCATATTACCCCTATTAATTAATATATATACTTTTAGTAAAAACTGAGAGTTAAATATATTTCTTTTAATACACATGTATATATATATATATATATATATATATATATATATATATATATATATATATATATATATATATATATGTATATATGGGTGGGGGGAGCGAGCGGTCGGCTCTTTTTTGGCCTGGCGCGCGCGAGCTCGCGCGCATCGAGCATTTTTTCTTTGGCTCGCGACGACCTCCCCCTTTGTGCGAGCTCGCCCTCGGGCCCACGCTAGGTTAAAAATTGCTTT